ATTTTTTAAGTAGAGACGGATGGGGTTTTGCCATGTTGGTCAGGCTGGTCTTGAACTCCAGACCTCGGGTGATCTGCCCACCTTGGCCTGCCAAAGTGCTGGGATTACAGGCGTGAGCCACTTCACCTGGCCGCCTTTTAGCTATTACTTCCACTCTTTGGCTGTCATGAATAATGCTGCTCTCAGCATCCATGTACAAATTTTTGTGTGGACATATGTCTTCATGGGTATACGCCTAAGAGTATATACATATTCTTTTGGGTATACACCTAAGAATGGAATCACTGAGTCATTTGGTAACACTTTAATGTTTGGAGAAACTGCCAGTTGTCCAAAGCAGCTGCACCATTTTACATTTTCATGAAGAGTGTGTGAGGGTTCCAATTCCTCCACTTCCCCACCACTTGTTATTATCTGTCTTTTTTTTTTATAGCCATTCTTTCAATGTAAAGTGGTGTCTCATTGTTGCAGTTTTTGGTTTACCTTTGATTGACATGTTGGGCATCTTTTCATGTGCTTACAAGCCATTTGTATATCTTCTTTGGAAAAACGTCTATTGAGAAATTTTGCTCATTTATTGAGTCATATTGAATGCTTTGAGTTTTATTTTCTTCATCTGTAAAAGAAGAATGCTACAGCCTTCAGAGGGTAGTGAAGATTAAATGAGAGAACATTTATTTGCAAGACACATAGCACAGTGCTCTGCACAGCACTTGGCAAGCACCCCAGAAAGTTAGCGAACCTTCCTGTCACCTTGCCTTGCAAGTAGAAACCAAGTGGAGTTCATTCTGCATTATGTCATCTAGCATACTGTGTTGCATGAAGACAGACTCAATAAATGCCTGAGGGTATAAATGGGCCAATTCACGCCATTCAGTATTCAAATTTGAATCTTCCGTGCTCTGCCCCCTTTCTCCCATTTCTTTCATTGAACCTTTTCTTTCTCGAACAATTTTCTTAATTTTATTCCTCTTGCCAGGTGCCTCCTCTTGTGAGATTTAACTTTGCAGTATCATTGAGGCCGAGTACAAAGAGAGCCAAAGACATCACCTATGGCAGTCCCGGGGTGAATGTGATAAACCACTGAAGGGGCTGAAAGTCTGTCTGACAGCCTGAGAGCATAGCCTATCCCATCTTAGCGAGCCACAAAAAGTAATTAAAGTACTTACAGGAGTGAGAAAAGGGAGCCTTTCAAAACCCTGATTGCAGACTGTTATTTAACACAGTTCAGCAACGCTGGTCTGAGGAATTTTCACTTGTAGAGGACCCAGGCCGCCTTCAGGCCCAAAGATTCCAGATTGGTTCAGGCCACCTGGGGTGTGCAGACTGCAAGGGGCCACAATTGGGTGGAGAAAAGCAAACAATGTGATCACCACATGCACGCAGCCTGCCCGGGGTAGAGCCCAGCTTTGGTGCCTGGGGCAGGACTTGAAAGGACAAGCACAGGTGAGGGAAGGTGTGCTTGTCAGCCCAGTACCGAACACCGCGGTGGGATGTGAGTGGGTGTGTACGGAACTGCTGGCTTTTATCTTAGGCCTGGGACAATGGGGACTTCGAAAAGCAAGGGGTGTGCGTGTGCCTCGGGTCCAGCTGCAGTACCGCGGTCTGAAACCCCAGGCCACCCTCTGAGTCTGCCTGAGGGCAAGTCTGGGAGCGTCAGCAGGAGGAAAGTGGAGACGCGAGTGTTCCGCAGGGCAGGGACTGGTTCCAACTCATCTTTGCATTCCAGGGCCCACTTCGGGGCCCAATGACTGTTTATGGAGCTCATGAAATGCTCCCTCAGGCTGGGCACGGTGGCTCACGCCTGTAATCCCAACACTTTGGGAGGCCGAGGCTGACAGATCACTTGCGGTCAGAAGTTCCAGATCGCCTGGCCAACATTGTGAAACCCTGTCTCTGCCAAAAAATACAAAAATTAGCCAGGCGTGGTGGCACGCACCTGTAGTCCTAGCTACTCAGGAGGCTGAGACAGAACTGCTTGAACCCGGAAGGCGGAGGCTGCAGTGAGCAGAGATCGCGCCACTGCACTCCAACCTGGGCGACAGAGCGAGACTCCGTCGTCTCAAAAATAAAAAAGGTCCCCTAGGCCCGCCTTGCGAATGCGGGATCTGGGGCCCTGTCCCGGGAGGGGCATTCAGGAGCCAGCCTGGTGCAGGCACCGCGCGTCAGGCCACAGCCCTATGCGGCCGGGGATTCACTGCGGGGGCGAATCTTTCGGCTTGAGCAGAGCAGCGGCAGCTGCGGGTCCGTCCACTCGTGCTCCGCTCGGTTCCGGCTCCTAGGCAGCCCGGGAGCCGCTCTGCGGGCCGGGAGGGACCCCCAGCATGGCGGCCTTAACACACGCTGCACCACAGTTACCCGACAACCCCTGCGGCTGAGGCGCAGGGCGAGTGCCTCCCGCAGAGCAGCCTGGACCGCGCCGCATTCTTCAGTGGACGACTGCCCTTGTCAATCACTGAGGAAACTAGACCATGGGTGTGGCCGGACATCCGGGGCTTTCCACCCTCGGAGAGAGGCGGGCTTGAGGTGGGGGAGATGGAAGGATGTCATACCCAATGGCAATCAAGGCCTTTGGCCTCGCGGCAGATTGGCAGGTACTTGAACCACTGAAGCGCCGCAGAGGGATACAGGTGCTCTGGCAGTGATTGGTTCAGTTCGCGGGTGGGTGGTTTTCTCCGTGCGTTGGTTCCTCACAGCGGGTAAATCGGGCACAGCAGATATAAGTAACACGTAAGTGGAAGTGCTGCTGGTGAGGTTCGGGGATGTTTTCGTGTTTTGAAAGTTAGTATTTTGGCTTTCACAAAGCCACTTGATTTTAGTAGGCTTTACCTGGAATGACTCAGATTCCCTTTCGTTAGCTTAGTTAAGGCACTCCCTCCCCTTGCAGGGTCCGGGTTGGAGAACGACCGCGCTGAGCCCAAATTACCGCCGAGATCGTTGGAAATGTGTGCAACTCAGTGAACTAAAGCGGAGATTAAATGGATGGTATTCAGTAGAAAATGGGACAAGACATGAATGGACACTTTACGGAAAAAAAAAAAAATGCAAGAGGCCCCTAAACATTTAAGTGTGTGCTCAGCCTTTTTCTTAATCAGAAGAATGCAAATGAAAACCTCACTGAGCTAACGCTTCAGTTCCATCAGGTTGTCAAAAATCCAAAAGTTTAACAAGGTACGCAGTTAAGGACAATACAGGAACCGGATCTGTCCTGCATTGCTGGGGCGGGGGGAGTGCAAATATACCTTTGACTCGAAGTCCACCTCTAAAATCTATCCTGAAAGTAAACCTTCACAAATATGAAACAACCTACTCACAAAAGTTTTATGTGTAGCGGCATTATATGAATTTGCAAGACTGGAAACCATGCAGATATCCATGAGAGGGGGAATGACTGAGCAAGCTGGTACATCCGGGCTGGTACCCAGCTGACTCTGTGGCAATATTTTCTATGGCGTGGTCTGTCTCCAGAGATGATGTATATAGGCTGCTACCTTTAGCAAAAAGAAGCACTGAAACGATAAAACCAAAACTGATAAAAATGTTAGCATAAAATGGTGGAGAATCTGGTAGAAGCCCTAGAGGAGTTCCACCAGAAGAAAAATAAGGTGACAATAATAATAGTTTAAAAAAAAAAATTGTAGTAATAGGAATTTGCAAGGCTTTCTGTTCTGAAACCCGACAGTAGACCCAGAAAGGCATACTTGGCTGGGTGAGTCTCAAGTTACTTACATAAACCGGAGGCCATGCCATAGCCTGGTGAAGGATTTCTGGTACCCTGCCCCTTTCCAAAAAGATGTCTCTTTGGGACCTCTAAAACTGGAATGGTCCATCAGCACTGTCCTTTTGGCAGACAAGGCAGGACTTTGTACCCCAATAGTGACTTGGTTTGGAGGTAGGCCACCCCAGAACAGGATGGAATCTTGGGCAAGGCATTTGCTGTCAGGCTGGCTACAACCTCCCCCTCAAGGCTGTGAGGAGAGAAGCAAGGAAATAACTTCAACCTCCTCTAAAGTAGGAAACCTCCTCACCTGCCACTTCTGCAGTGAAAAGTAGAGATGAAGGCCTGGCACAGTGTCTTACCTCTGTAATCCCAGCACTTTGGGAGGCCAAGGTGGGCTGACTGCCTGAGGTCAAGAGTTTGAGACCAGTCTGGCCAACGTGGTGAAACCCTGTCTCAACTAAAAATACAAAAAAATTAGCTAGATGTGGTGGTGTGTTATTTCCTTGCTTCTCTGGATGGAGGTACAACGGACACTTGGAGGGAAGGAGGCCCTGAAAAGTCTTTAGCAGGCAGGCTTTGGTAAACAGAACTGTAGATACTGATGAGTGACAGGCCACTGCTATTTGTGTCATGTAGGTAGGCCAGCCTGGGCAGGGTCCTCAGCAGAGTGATGGAGGGAGAGCAGGGGAGAGATGCAAAGGCTTTGGGACTGGTTCCCATCACCGGAAAGAGGCTCTGTGCACCTGAGTGTTTTAGCTTCTCCCAACCTCCACACCCAGAGAGAGTTCCATTGGGATTGGCTTCTGTAGGCCTCTGTGGCTCTAGGTTCTTGGTGGAAGTGACATACATACTGATGATGCTCAGCTATGGCTGCCATGTAGGCGCCTTTCCCTTGGTGTTTGCGATCTTTCTCCCACCCTGCTGTTTCTTTCTGCCCTCCTTTATGCTTTTTGGCTTAGATTTGGTTCATTCACTGAACTGAGTATCTGTGAGCTGATGAGAGCAATCTCAGATGAGGTGGCAGAAATGGTGTCAACAGAGGCCAGCACTTATGGGGAATAGATAAGAGCTACCCAACACCAGAGCAAACCAGCAGTATTTCCATGAAGTGTCCAAGGCCAGGGGTGGGGCCTGGGCAGTGGACACACACCACCAAGGAAAAGGAGGATGCTGAGCACTTCAGACACTGGCTTCCAAGTGCCCATCAAGCCCTGTCCTGGAACTCATAGGAAACTCAGGCAGTGCAGGTGTCTCCCCAACACCCATGCTCCCTTTAATCACAGATCCCCAGTGAAATTCAGTAACCTTGTCTTCAAGTGGCCATGTCTTAAGGAGATGCTGGACCCAGCCCCAGGCTCCTGGGATCTAGGCCCATCATGGTGGTCCCATCTCCTTGCCTGTGACTGAAACATGGGCACATGCCATATTCTGGCCAATTGGGATCTGAAGAGATGTGGGGCAGGGACACCTGAACCAGTTCTCTCACGCCTAGAGACGCAAGCAAGAGATGCCCTTGTCTTGCTTCTGGATGAGATACCTGAACTCCTGCAGCCATCTTGCCACCATGAGGAATGCTAGTCTCCAATGAAAGCCCGCAATAGGAGGAAGACAGCTAAGAGAACTGCGGCTTGAGTCCCGACCGTTCTCGGTCTGGAGCTGTTCTAACTTTTGACTTCTCCTGTGAGAGAGCCCTGCTCTTGTTTAAGCCAGCTGAGTCGGAGTTTTCTGTTCATTGCAGTCAGAACATCTTAGCTGGGACAAGTATACAGAAGTACCTTCAGTTTACTTTTCCCATAGCCATGAGGATTTTGACTCAAGTACATGAGTCCTTCCTGTTTGGTATAATCAGAAAAGAAAGACCCAGAAAAGAAAGAAGAGGAAGGAGAAAGTGGGCAATGGAACCACAGGAGCTTTGCAGCACGGCCTGGGGAGGGATAAGGGCACCTACGAGTCTTCCCTGCCCACCGACGTGCATTTAGCGGGGGACAGACAGATTAGCTGATGTAAGGGTCCCTAGGACCTGAGACAGAGAATAAATAATTCTTTTTTTTTGTTTTTTTGAGACAGAATCTCGCTTTATCACCCAGGCTGGACTGCAGTGGCGTGATCTCGCTGACTACAATTGTCGCCTTCTGGGTTCAAGCGATTCTTCTGCCTCAGTCTCCCCAGTAGCTGGGATTACAGGCATGCGCCACCACGGCCAGCTAATTTTTGTATTTTTAGTAGAGACAAGGTTTCACCATGTTGGCCAGGCTGGTCTCGAACTCCTGACCTCAAGTGAACAAAGAATTCTTCAATCATAACATGGCTATATGCTTCTGACAAAACAGATTAAAACAATTTTAAGAAGGAAAAAAGCATTGACCACAAAAAGAAAAACACTCGTATTTAGATCCAACAACAGACACAGACAGTGAACGGTCTGCAAAGAAGCAAAAGGGATCACAGAGCGGAACAGGGAGGGGCTCCTGAAAAGCAGAGGTAAGCAGAGGCCATGGCAGGAAGGTAACCTCAGGACGGCGAGCATGAGACAGGACAATGTCACCGCTCCACGTTTTTTAAGGTAGTGTGTTGACTGAACTTTATTTCAGCAAACAAAAAATAAGAACTTGCATAGGCTCTGTCTCTAGCATACCCTCCCATACTCGGTTTGCTCAAGATCTGTGAATGGTCCTGCCAGTGGGGTGATCAGAAATGGGACCTGCATGGCCCAGTTATCCCCATCACTGTATGTTCACTCACAAAGACGGAACAGCTGCTGTGCTGTCCCAGGCACTGCTCTTTGAGGCCCCTTTGGCATTTTATTGAATGCTTTCTGGTGAGGTTCTCTTTCCCTGCACATGGGCTTTCTTCTCGAAAGGCCTTTAACCTGCTGACAGGTAGGGACCAGGTCGTCTATTTTATTTCTTCTGTCTACAGTGTATAGCATAGTTCTAATATAATTAGGCAAGTAATCAAAAAAGTCTTGCCTAATTATATTTAAAGTAAGTAGCCTGCTTAAGTGAGAGATTCTGGCAGATCTTATCTCTAGTACCATTATTTTGTGCCAGGATAAAAGATGAGTCTCTGAATTAGACTTTTTGCTAAAAGAATGCTCCTGGCTGGGCATGGTGGCTCACACCTGTAACCCCAGCCCTTTGGGAGGCCAAGGTGGGTGGATCACCTGAGGTCAGGAGTTTGAGACCAGCCTGGCCAACATTGCAAAAACCTGTCTCTTCTAAAAATACAAAAATTAGCCGGGTGTGGTGGTGCATGCCTGTAATCCCATGTACTCGGGATACTGAGGCAGGAGAATCGCTTGAACTCACAAGGTGAAGATTGCAGTGAGCAGAGATTGTGCCACTGCACTCCAGCCTGGGCGACAGAGTAAGACCCTGTCTCAAAAAATAAAGTAAAATAAAAGAATGCTCCCCTTTAGCTGGGTGTCATGGTGCACACCTGTAGTCCCAATTACTTAGGCTGAGGCAGAAGGATTCTGAGAGCCTGGGAGGTCAAGGTTGCAGTGAGCCATGATGGCACTATTGCACTCCAGCCTGGGTGACAGAGTGAGACCCTGTCTCTAAAAAAGCAAAGCAAAACAAAACAAAACAAAAAAAACAAGAATGCTCCCCTACATCTTGCTTTCCTACAGTTACAGAAACTTCCAGAAATCTCCACAAGGCAGAATAAGAGTGTAGTGTTGGCCAGGTGTGGTGGCCCACGCCTGTAATCCCAGCTCTTTGGGAGGCAAAGGTGAGTGGATCACCTGAGGTCGGAAGTTGGAGATCAGCCTGGCCAACATGGTGAAATCCCATCTCTATGAAAAATACAAAAATTAGCTGGGCGTGATGCCTCATGCCTGTAAACCCAGCTACTCGGGAGGCTGAGGCAGGAGAATGGCGTGAACCTGGGAGGCGGAGGTTGCAGTGAGCCGAGACTGCACCACACTTCAGCCTGGATGACAGAGTGAGACTCCATCTCAAAAAAAAAAAAAAAAAAAAAAAAAAAAAAAAAAAAAAAAAAAAAAAAAAAAAAAAAAAAAAAAAAAAAAAATTTGGATCAGGAGAGGGCCTCAGAGCCCCATAACAGCCGAACCCTCACCAGCAAGCAGAAGCCAGAGGGATCAGGGACTTTCTCCTCTGAAGAAAACAATTTTGATTCTTGTAAAGTAATATACACATGGCAAGAACTGGGCAAGTCTGTATAGAATGTACGCTTGCATCTATGTTTATAAGGGAAAATTAGGCCTACGGAAGTCTGGGAAGGACAAGGGCATGGGGCATGGCCGCCGTGGGCATCCCGCGGACACAGCTACATGTCGTAGAGCCGGAGCTGCTCCTGCACGTCGCCGTCCGACATCTCGCCAAACGTTTCCTTGTTGTCTTTCATGAGCTTGAAGATGGCAGCCAGCTGTTCCTTCTGAACTCTGTCGAGAAGAAAGGACAAAGAGGAAGAAGGTGCTCCTAACCCACTGGAGAGAGAGAGAGAGAGAGCCTGTGTGCAGCCAGCGGAGGTGGGACTCCCCTCCCTCCTGTGTTACAGCGGTTGCTTTTCAGAACAAGAAGAAAATGAAAATAAACAAAACCCACTTAGAACATAGGAGTTGGTTGGATCTGACACACTCAGCTTTGGAGGGCTCTAAAAACTGGAATTCTAAATCTCAGGTTTGCAGGAGAGGTTGGGGGACCCAGGTATCACTTAGGTAAGCTGTGCCTCAGTTTCCCGTTGGGTCTCATCTGATCACTGACTGCACATCCCACAGTGATGTAATGAGGAAGAGATGGGCTCCATGAAGCGGTTGAGGTAGTACTATGAAGCAGGTTAGAAACAGCGTTTGTTGAGAGGGATGAGCCGAAATGGAGAAAGAAAAAGCATCATCAGCTGGGAAGCCGGGGAGAATACAGATGTGTGCAAGATGGCGCTTGGCAAAGGAGCAAGGGCAGCCTGTGGGGTTTCACTGCCCGGAGAAAGGGGGACGCCTTTTCCTAATTTGCACAAGGACACCCTCTGGCAGGCAGCATCCCTGCCCCTTTTACCAAGGAATGGGTGTAGAGGAAGACTGGCCCTAATGTTTGCTTCCCACCGGCTCTGTGCTGGGATAATAAATGTCTTATTATCTTTATGAGGCTCAGCTACACCATCTGACCAGCACAGGACAACTCCCGCAACACAAACACCTCAGGGTGGGGCAAGGCCACCGCCAAACCCAGGGAGCCGTATGTTGTTCTGCTCTGGTGCCCTTGGCACTGCCTGCTGGGCACTGCATCCTGCTGCATCTCACTCTTCTGGTTTCTGCAGTTCCTGCCCTCCACACCACACCACGGCTCAGTGCCTTCAGAGAACCTAAACCACACTGGGCGTCAGCCCTCTCACCCCGCCCTGCAGCTGGGTCGGCCGTAAGCACATGACAGGTCCGGCAGCTGCAAGGCTCAGCAGAGCTCTGGGCCCCTGGCACTGCCTGGAGGGGCGGTCTCTACCTTTGCTCCCATACTTTTCCTACCACATTCCTTGTTTCACCCTTCCCTCCTGTCTCCAGCCCCGCATCTTCCATCCCGCAAAGTTTTCTGTCTAGAGCAGCATGTAGTAGTTAAAATACGGAAGTCCCCCTTCCCAGACTCCCTTGTCCCCTGGGAAAGCTGTGTCTACAGTCAGTTCCTGTCTGGAGAAGCAGCAGCCTATGATGTGTGCTTTGTGCCCTACTGTAGGAAAAGGGTCAGGCGCAGCGGCTCACGCCTGTAATCCTAGCACTTTAGGAGGCCAAGGTGGGAAGATCACTTGAGTCCAGGAATTCGAGACCAGCCTGGGCAACACAGTCAGACCCTGTCTTTACAAAACAATTAGCCAGGTGTGGTGGTGAGCTCCTGTAGTCCCAGCTACCTGGGAGGCTGAGACAGGAGGATCACTTAAGCCCAGGAGGTCAAGGCTACAGTGAGCTGTGACTACACCACTGCACTCCAGCTTGGGCAACAGAGGGAGACCCTGTCTCAAAAAAAGAAAAGAAAGGGATTCCTGTGAACAGAAAGAGCGTGCTGAGCTCCGTGGATGGAAGCACAATTCATATATCCCTGAGTGAACACAGATCATGTCGTGGTTTTGACAACTGTGGTGACTGCATATTTTTAACGGAGGATGTGTTTCTGTGCTCTGCTGCAGAGTATGAGGCGTCAAAATGAAAGCGAGGTCAAACCGTAATGGATTCAAAAGGGATTTGTTTTTAAAACAAACTGAAAAAACACACAGTAATTGAGATCATCTACTCAAAGTTTATTGGACTGAACAAAGGCTGAATACAGAGATCCAAGCCATCAGGAGTACATGAGGTGTGGTGCCTACAAGCCATGGTCAGAGTTTCCAGACAAACCTAGATACCTCTACTGGGAGGGAGTCAATGACCTATTGTATCGGTTAGATCCCCTCCTGGCCAAGGACAGGACTGTTGCTGTTTGGGGACACAAGAGTACATCTGTTCATCACGTGGCGCTGTGTTGAAGGCAATGACTGTGTGGCTGCTGCCGTGTGGCCTGTTCTCCCCTAAACCCTGAATCTAAGGTTGCAGGCCCAGATGAGAAGGCCACCAGAAATGCATGCCATCGGTATTGATGCTGGACATTCCCAGCCTTCCATTAAATGAACAAATTTTCTATACACCTACTGCTTTAAAAAAGAAAACATTTTAACCTACAAACCTAGGAACGGCAAATTAGCTTGGTATAGTATAAATATTGTCAAATATAAAATTCCAAGAAACGAATCTGAGCCTGGTCTGATGATCTGAAGTTCTAACTAATCTATCAAACTTTCTAAGAAAAGGCATAGTCAAGAAATCTTTTTAAAGCAAACATTATTGCTTTTGCTGTAGCAGAGTGGAGATTTGGCTGAGCTGGTAAGAACGTCATTGAAAAGGTATCTTAGCAATAAAAGGGCTGAATCCAAGATTCCTCTGGATGAAAAATAAGGGCAGTGATCAAGTCAACACCTGGTACTGGTTCTTCACTGCCCTGTAATCAATATGGCATCTCACCCCCAACCACCAAGCCAGCTAGAGAGAGAAGTGGGGTTACCAGGGACAGGGGCCGGCTGACCACCCTGACGGAGCTGGTGAGCACAGGTGAGCTCTACCTCATTTGTCTCTCATTCCTCAAAGTCTTCTGTGGTTTGGCTTCAGTGAGGGCAAAGGAGGGGACTGGAGTGAAAGTGTACTCTGCTCTTAAAGTGTTCGTTTTATCTAAGGTGTGCAGGGCGTGTGGATAGCAAGTTTGGGTGGTAAGAAAGATCCAAGTCCAAGGTTTGAGCTCAAACTCTTAAAACCCTTCAGCTTAACAAAGTGACCCACAGAAATGGACATGAACATCTCTCCACAGGGCAGGGCCAAAGGTGTTCCCGGGATCCTGCTAGCCCAGGGCCAAGTCCTGATTGAGGGTCTAGAGCTCAGCAGATTTATGGAGGCTGCATGCACCCTGGGAGCCTGCCCAGACTCCTCTCTGGGGGTTCCATTTTATCTCAAGCTTTTAAGATGCCAAAAGGAAAAGCCTTTAGGAGGACGCTAAGGATAACTTCGTTATTCTTCAGTTCTGTAAAGAGAAATGGGGAGAAAAAGATAATTTATTTCACTCATTCCATCCTACACGTACCATGGGTGAGGAAAGGGAGAAGTGGGGACAAGGAAGGAGAATGTTTGGAATTGCAGAAGCTGCGCTAGACTCCGGTTTCTCAAACCCCTGCTGATTTGCTTCTCATCGTTTGCAGCAAGAGAGTCTGTGCCACAAAGCTGGCCAGAGCTTGCAGAGCTCTCCTTGATCCCGCACAGAACCTGACAGCCCACAGACCCTGTTCAGCCTCTGCAGGGTACTTAAGAAAGGAACTGGGGCAGTTGAGTTACCAGGGCCTTTCTGATCTTTGGTTGTGAGGCTGTGCTGACAGTATTCCTATCACCCTAGATAATTTTCCATTCCTGCTGGCTGAGTTTCATCCCCTTGTGGGATCCTGGCACCCTAGGACGCGTGCTTCCAGACGGAGCCAATGGTGTGCCCATCTTTTATGAACCAAGACACATTTCGAGCCCTGGGACCGCAGAGAACGCAGCAGTCTGATCTTGTCCCTCTGGCGCCCTCTCCTGGTGGTTACAGTCCCGCGGGCATTTCCAGCCTGAGCTATGGTTCCTTTGCCTCCTCCTCTTCCCCTTCCCTGTTTTACCACGCCCCGCCGAACACCCTCCTCTAGAGTCTTGTCCATTTCCAGAGGAGTCAAGACAGCCCTGCAGACCTCAAATGGAGGGATGGGTCCTGACCTATCAGAGCCAGCCTAGTCTACAGGCTGGGTTCTGTTTTCCCTCTGAGACCAGAAAGTGGGAAGAAGTGATGGAGAGGAGCTGACAGACATGCCTTTTCTTTTCTTTACTTTTCTTTTGTTTTCTTT